TTAAAAAATGGGATAATACATGGGAATTTGGAATTCAGGAAAGTTCCCTTATATGAACTAGGTAAGTATATATGGAAAATAAATTATGTGTTACTAACCCCAATGCCTACAGTAGCTGGACGAGATATGTCTGTCACTTGTCTTATCTTAACGCAGTTGTATTTTGTTACTGAAAAGAATATTGTTGAGGAGTACTGTTTTACACACTTGTGCCTAAGGTAGTGTTTGCTTCTCTTCTATTTCCACTCTTCTGGACATTTGCTTACTAGTCAGCCACCCCTTTCTCCCCCCACAGAGCAGCCAAACTGGATTTACTCTAATTGGGACACAAACAGTAACAACATAAAAGAGGTAGACGTTATGTACTAGATACATTTTCAGAATTATTAGAGAAAAACTAGAAGCAAAATTGAATGAGCCCCACTGGTCATAAATTTGAGCTTCTTAAACCCTCTGTGACTACAGAAAATAAAGACATCAATAGTCAAGCCTTAACTGTAAGCAGGAGGCAAATTTTCCTAGTTAGTATCTCAGAGTCACGATAGTGCCAAGCAGTCAAAAAGGCTAATTTGGCAAGTTTGACTGTTGGGGTGAGGGTGGTCAGTGATGTCTCCGAACTGGCAGGCGTCTAGCTGCTCTCTTGATAGGGTCTATGGCCAAACATGATCCCCGTTTTTTCTGATTTTTATGATTTGTTTTCCTGAAAAGCATTACACACACAAAAAAAACACATAGCATGATTTCTTCCCAGAATAACCTGCATGATTCAGTAACAACACCAGCACTTCTGAATCCTCTATTAAACACATACACCTAAAAAAATAACCTTTGGACAAGTTAGTCTCTTTTATCACTTCTCATCCAAGACTTTCTAAGTGTGTAATGTCCATGCATTATCTGTACTGCATTTTTCCACTTGTCTTTTAATATTTGTAATCTAGCTACATATATTCCTACTTCCTGTAAAGTTGTTACACAAAACCAAGATGGCAGTGTAATCACTATGTCTAATTCATAAGATACTTGTCATATTTGTGGCACTTGAAGTTATTGGTCATTTTTTTCTTTATTCTACCTCTCTCACATGTCCTTAAATACTGGTGCTTTTGAAGTTTTTCAACACTGATGAATTCATAAACTGTGAATTCCATATTTATTTCGCTTTTACTTTATATATTCTCCCTCAATCGTTTTATTCAATTTCATAGTTCTATTACAGTTTATTTATGAACTCCAAGTAGATAGCTGTTGTTTAATAATTTTTCTTGCACTTTCAGTAAATATCTCTTATCAGCTATCTAGACAGCTCTGTGTGGATGCTTTTCGTACCTCAAAAAGTTATGAATAAAATCTACCTCATTATCTTGAGCTGCCAATTCGCTCTTCCATTGTGTCTTAGTCAAATTTTCCTACGTAATTTTAAAAACTATTACAGAGAGATTTCTTGTGCACTTTTCTCGGATTCTCCTGATGGTAACACTGTGAAAAGCTATACTATTACACCTGATTGGCGTCTAACCCACTAACATGTGTTTGTTTGTGTATCTGATTTATTTCACTGACAGTATGGTCTTTAGGTGTATCCATTTTCCAACAAATGACACTCTTATTTTGTATGGCAGAATACTATTGTGTGTAAATACCACATTTTCTTTATCCATTTATTTGTTCATGGGTATGTCGGCTGTTTCCAGAGATATTGAACACTTTTTCATGTACAATATTTCTTGACCATTTGTACTACTTCTGAGCCATGTCTGTGGCTACCCATTTTTTAATGGAAGTTTTTTATTTTAGGGGTTCTAGTGTAATATTCTAGATATTAGTTCTCTGTTCAAGGAATATCTGGCAAAATCTTTTTCCCATGCTGAAGGTTTCCACTTTACTCTGCTGGTTATTTCCTTTGCTGTGCAGAAGCTTTTTAATTTGATGTCACCCCATTTGTTGATTCTTGGTATTATTTCCTGTGCAATTGGAGTTCAGTTCAGAAAGTTCTTGCCTTTCACCCGTTTTGATTGTAGTTTGGTAAATGGTGAGACATGAATGAGTTTAGATTCAGTCTTCTGCATTGTTGGGAGCCGTTGAAGCTGGAGATTGATCACTATGTGTGGAGCTAAAGCAAGACTCGCCCAGAAAAAACAGACCAAAACAAGCTATGTAAACAGGTCATTTCAGCACCAAGAAGGCAGAGGGCCCAGGCCTGCCAAGCAATGGGTTGCTAGGCAGAGGGGCTGAAATTGATGTCATCTTTCCCAGTATATAAGTAAAGGTGCTACAGTGGTTGAGCAGTTTCTTTCCTCCCATCAGGAGGATAAAGGCTCCACCTGACCCCAGCTTTGTCTTTTCTTTATTTTTCCCATCTTCTGCCAGTTGAACCCAGGAACCTCAGGAGCCTAACTGGGTTGCGGCACTGCATGGTGACAGCCAGTCTTCCCAGAACCATTTATTAAAGAGGCTACCTTTATTCCAGTGTAGGTTTTTGACCACAGAAGCTGAATGTACCTGGAGATTTTCTGCCTCCTCTGCTCTATTCCAGTGAGCTGCATGTCTGTTTTTGTGTCAGTTCCACGTCTCTCCCCCACAGCTTTGTAATACAACTTGAAATCCAGGATCGCGATGCCTGTTTCTTGCTTTTGTGTTGTCCAGGATAGCTTTTGCTGTTGTGGGTTTCTTCTAGGATTATTTTCTCTAATTACTCAAGGAATGCTGTTGGCATTTCGATTGAGATTTTGTTAAATCTGTATGATAATTTTGGAAGTATGATAATTTTGACTACATTGGTTCTGCCTATCCAGAACAGACCACATCATTCGATTTTTCTGATGTTCTCTTTAATCTTTTTCACAGTTCTGTAGCTTTCATTGTAGAGATTTTTCACTTCCTTGGTGAGGTTAATTCCTAAGTATTTAGTTTTCTTGATGCTATTATGAGTTGTATTTTTCTAATTTCTTGCTCAATGAGTTTATTATTGGTGGACAGCAATGCTATTGGTTTTTTAAAATTTTATTTTAATTTTAATGTTTTTGCTATTGATTTTTGTGTGTTGATTTTGCACCCTGATAACGTTGCTGGATTTGGTTATTCTAGGATTTTGGGTGGGTTTTTTTTTTTTTTTTTTTTTTGTTGTTCTTTTCAGTAGACGATCATGTCACCTGCAAATAGTGATACTTTGCCTTCTTTCTTTTCTATGCATACCTTTTTTATTTCTTTGTCTTACTTGACTGCTCTAGTTAATGTTTCAATTGGTTTTTCTTCTTTAGTCTGGTTTTTGAAGAGTGAACTAGGTTTAGTTTTTAGAATAAATCTACAATTGGCTGGAATGTATTATTCTTTCTATTGTATATAATGTTGGATTAGATTTGCTACTATTTCTAAGGATTTTTGTGTCTGTTATGAAAGGATACTAATCGGTAGTTTTCTTATATTTTCTACCATGGTGGCTTTATAAAATGTGTTGAAAAGTATTTTCTTGTACTTTCTATAAGATATTATATAGAATTATTATAAACTCTTGTATTATTATTTGCTCAGTTCACCAGTGAAACCATGTGGGCCTTGACTTTTCTTTTTTAGAAGATATTTAACTATACACACATTTATAGATGGTATTTAACTGTACTTTTTTTTGAAATAATTTTACTTAGGTTTCAAATCATAGATCCACTCCATTTGGATTGTTGAATTTATATATATAAAGTTGTTCATAGTTCCCTCATTATCCTCTTAAAATAGAAGCCTAAGTTATTCATTGTTGTAGACATTCTTTTCTACTATAAGTTTTTTTTTTTTTTACTGGTACCGGGAATCGAACTTGTGACTGCCTGCTTGCAAGGCAGGTGCTTATGATGCTGAGCTAAATCCCCAGCCCCCTCTACTATAAGTATTTAATCTGCAGATTTCCTAATTATTACTTTAGTGTTATCCTGCTGATTTTGATATATTTTCATTGAGTTCAAAGTACTTTCTCATTTCTCTTAAAAGGTCTTTTTGACCTATAGATTATTATTTAGTAACATGTTATCTAATTTACTAATATTTTGAGATATTTCATGCATTTTTCTATATTTACCTCTAATTATGTTATAGTAAAAGTATATTTGTTGTATAGTACATATGTAAAAAAAAAAGATCCTGGATTCTTGATTGAGATTGGGTTGCATTTATAAATCAATTTGAAGATGATTAATATTCACTCCATTAACAATGGTTATCTTTCTATTTATTTAGGTCTTAACAAAGCAACACTTTGTTATGTTGTAAATGTATAGATCTTTCATGTCTCTTTTCAGTTTCCTCTCTAAGTATCCAATATTTTTGTGATACTATAAATATTGTTTTCATTTGTTTCTGATCTTTGTTGCTATAGAAATGCAACTGATTTTCGTATCATCCTCTCACTATCCAGAGGCTAGAAATCAGAAGCCAACCAGGACCTTCCCTGGGGCTTCTGAGGAAGGGTCTATGCCATCCCCTTTCCCTGCTGGCTTCTAGTGGCTGTCAGTATTCCTCAATCTGTGGCTGCCTCACTCCAATCTCTATCTCCGTGGTTACTCTTCTAATGGTTACTCTAGAGATTACAATGCACTTCCACACTTCATACAGTCTCCTAGAATCAATATTTTATCACTTCAAGTAAAACAAAAAATACATCTACAAAGGGAGGCTGGAGTACACCTGTGTAACTTAATATTGTATCCAATTTCCTCTACTACAACGAATGGTCACTGAGGATAATATCTTTGAGAATAACATCATATTCATATATTCAGTATCTAACAAGCAATATTTGATGTTTGTATACAAGCTCAGTGATATAACTCTTCTGCACTTCTAATTATTTTTGTTATTATCTGTATTAAATTACAGGATCATGTCTGCTTAATGTTTGTATAACTTCTCTGACCTCGACAGGAGTTATCCTTGTGCTCATGTTTCTTTCAGGCTTTTCATGTTTGCTAAATTCACTTTAATTTTCATTTGAATTCTGCTTTGCTTTACAGAGCTGCAACTTCTTTGTTGAAGAAATGTCTGCGGAATTAGAAAAGAATAAAGAGAGACTGATGCAAGCTGCGAAAATGTTCTTCTTTCATGTACAAGATCTTGTTTCTTTCACAAATAAATGTATTGATTTGTTTAATAGTAATATGAACACTCAGATCCTCTTGACGGCTATGAAAGAAGATAGTAGCATAAAGGATTTGGTTGAACAAATGCTCAAACAATGTAAGGAAATGAAATCAGCACTGGATGCAAAACTCAGCAAAACGCAAACAGAACCTTTCTATTCCAAGGCTGCAACAACCATGTGCTCTGTGGTTGAGAAATATACCAATGTGGAGTTGCCTCCTTCAGCTAAAGAGTTGTTTGACATTATCCAGACACCCGTCATTGTTTCTGTGCTGAGAAGTAGTAACATCCTTGAGAGTTTAGAATCTTTACTTTCACTCTTGATGACGTTCCCCATCATGAATCTTCGAGTCAGTGACTTCCATAGAGAAGACACCAAAGAGCAATCAGATGCCACCACATCTGGGAAAACCATAAATCCAAATCTTTCTAAAAACACCACAAAGGACACTTTGAAGAAGCTGCAGGAGGCATTAAAAACTGAGAATGCCAGCAATCCTGAAGAGTCAGCAGCAGATCACTTGGAACAAATTGTCAGGGCTATGGAGCCAACCTTACATATTCTTCAAAAAGCCATGCAAACTGTGGAAACCAGTATTTCCAAGTCTAAGAAAGTCAATGACAAGTAGGAGTGCAATAGAAGACATCTGTCAGGAAATTAACTCGGATTCTGTGATTTTTAATAGTACTTTCTATTGTAAAAGCCTTTGTGTCAGAACGTTAGCATGGGGAATAGTCATCTGGTAAACCATTTACTTATAGTTCTGCTTTATTACAATAAAAAGGAATAATCAAAGAAGACCTGCTTGGAACATCAGTCATTAAGAAGGCTATGTTGTTATCTATCAGTATGTACTTGTGATGTATAAGTATATTTATCTTGAGAAATTGACATATATGCACATCACATCTTAATAATTTTTACTTCCACTTCCATTCCTAGCTCTCCTTTTCTGTCCTCAAAGCCCCTTTCTATCAACAAAATCTATTTCCTTGCTTCCTGTCTTTTATTTTGTTATTTGTATTTTGAGTTTCTTACATAAGAGAAAATAGGCGATATTTCTTCTATGTCGGCATATTTCACTTACTATTATGGTCTCCAGATGTGTGCATTTTCCTACAAATGACCCGTTTATTCCAGAACATATTGCTGAAAAATTAAAATAGCATTACAGTTGAGGCTATTTCTAAAGATTATATTTCATCTTAAAAAATGATAAAGTAGCTTAACCAATTTCCAGTTTTAGAAAGTTGATTCTAGCTCCTGCAGTGTGAAATCCAGATAAATATCAATATTATTATTAGATAATAATAATAGTCATCTCTAGTAGAGATGACTGTTCAGGCCCCAGGCAACATAATATAACCTATATTTTGTCACTTATATCCATTTCTGTAAAGTTCATTGCCTTGACTTTCATAAAAATATTCTTGATATCATTTATCCAGAATTATATAAGAACAATGAATAAGCAGTAATAAAATTTTCTTGCCAGAGTAGACAGTTTATTCTTATTTGTCTCCTACTGAGATATTTTTATTAGGGAATATTAAAAGTTGAAAAATGGAAGGATTCTGAGCATTTATAAAGTAAAAACCATAGCACCTGTAGGTTTTCTTTTTTTAAGGAGAAGAGTTAGGAAATTCCATTTACCTGCCAGGAAGTATTTGGTGCTCATACATTGTAAGTGACTATACTCTTAAGATGACCCTTAAAGTCACTGTCGCACATGATACCTAATAGGAACTTTGCTGAGAATAAAAAATGTGATATGATAACTCCAAAGAAAGGCTATCATTACCATTTATTATTATTATTACTTTGCATCATTGAGATTTGAACCTAGGGCCTTCACTCTTAAGCTGCATCCCTAATCCACTTGCCTCCTTTTTTACTTTTGAGGCAGAATCTTTCAAGTTGCTAAATTGCCCAGGCTGAACTTGATTTTGTAATCCTCCTGCCTCAGTCTCCAAGAATTCTGGGATTACAGGATTGTGCCACCAGGCCAGTTTATCACTGTCATTTTAAATAAAGTATTATTCCCCACTGTCAGACAACAGGTCTTGAGAGTGTCCCATGGTAAGGGCCTGGTGAATTTTGACCACTCCCAGAGCTTAGAGGTTCTGGAAAAGGGTAAACTTTCGATACATTAACTGAGTTTTTCGTACCAACACTGAAACCTTGCCCATTTGCAAAAGTTATCTATTTACTATTAATCATACTTTATTTTGGGGAGGATCTTGAGCGGATTCATTTGCTACCCTCCTATCAAAAATGTATTTCATGGAAGGAACGGGACAGGTCTTTTGCTATATTACTTTCTCTGTATTTCTTCGGTTTAGGATTTATCCCTTCTCTTGGTCACTGGGGTTGTACTCCAGGATGTCAGGATAGCTGAGGAGATTGACATAGAGATAAATGAGACATAGAGCAGGAAAAGTCCCTGGGTAGAGTCTCTCCATGACGTGATTAGACGAATAACCAGTGGCAGATGAAAGGGAGCCCGTGGATGTCCATGAGAATGGCCAGCTCAGGTGGCCCCACGGTGTTAGCGACAGGTAGTTCCCACATCCATAAAGATAGGTGGTCAGGAGCTGGTGGTGTCACACTTTCCCCCCGCTGAGTGCCACCAGCCTGTCCACTCTGTTGTCTTTTTATCTGCTGCCCATTTCCAGCCTACAGAAATATTAGCAGGAAGCTGCAGTCTTCTCAAACCGTTGCTCTCATTTTATGCCTCTCTTAAATACTTTGGTTTTGGGTTCCCTTGTTTTCTTTAAAGTCCTTCAGATTTTGAAGAACAAAATGAAGACTCACTTATTTCAGTGTTACACTTAGTGTTATTTTTTTCTCTGAAGCCATGAGCATTGTACAGCCTATGTGAGTGAAGTATGAGCAGAAAGGAGAGGGTGAACTTTCACAAAGCAAAATATGATCATGTATCAAAGAAAAATAAATTATGAAAAAATGAAAGAAGTTCTGTGATATTTGTAGTATCTTTCCCCCCACTTTTTAGTTGTCATTGTTTTCTATATCTTAGTGTCTCCGAAGGGACTTTGTTCAGTGTTTGCTGAATTTTACCAAATCAGGAACTGTATCATTTATGGACTCGATCATGAGACAACTCAATCCAAGAATCCCAATTCCCCAAGCAAATTTGGCAACACCAAAAATTTCTTTGGGTATTTTATTTTAATGAGTGTGAAGTAAGTGGAGAAACTTAGGATATCCAAGTATGTAAAGTATCATTTTAAAAACTTGGTTATCCTTTCAAGCATCCTGATCACATAAGTCCACAACATTCTCAGATGTTGGAGCATAGCATAGTCATGTACAGGATTAATTAAAACATAAATTACTGACTTACTGTTTCCATAAGTTTGAGGTCAGGCACTAGAAGTTACATTTCTACCAAAAGTTTAAGTGATGTTGATGCTTGCATGCGCTGGCTGCACACTTTGAACTGCCTATTTAGAAGAATTGTTGTTTCTTATGGGGATCAAAAGCTTTAGGCTCCTCTGTAGCTCATACTTAACTTTCTGCCAGACCTGGCCACTTCCTGATCCTACAAATATGAGACTTATTCCTGCCTCTTCTATCTGTTTACCTCTCTTTTCTACTCATGTGAAGCCTGTCAAAGTTTCATCTTCAGTAGAATGTTTTATCTACTCACAGGCCAGAGGAAGCTCATTTTTCTCTGCACTTCAAACATTTATTATTTGTGTTTGTTTTCAACACTAAGCACTTAGCTCATTCTCTTATAATTTCTCCTTCTTCCTATAGTCCCTTACTCCCATCGAATATCTCAAGTCCTTGCTCAAATGCTGCCTTTTGGGAAAGTCTTCCTGGCTTCTCCTTTTGCCTCAATTAAAAAGAATCAAACTCTCATGAATAGAAAAACTTTTCTCTGGTATATCCTTTGTGACTTGTACTCTTAATTTCTTCCAGGAGACTTTAAACTCATGAGAGACCTGATCTCATTATTCAACTTTTAGTCCCGCAATACTTGGTACATTACATAGCTTATTAAATGCATTTATATGATACAGTAAAATATAGGGAAATCACCAGGTGCTTTTTTCCTAACATTTCATTTCACTACTGTCTTACCAAGGTTCACTGCAAGGTTCACCCCCATGATTGCTAGACATCAACCTGCCAAAGACCTGTGTAGTGACTGCCTGTGGAAATTCTGTACTTGCTTTATTGGATGTAAAGGCCAATGCAACTGGGTGACACGGGTATACTTGGTTCTGTCAACTGGGAAATGCCAATTTAAGGGTTGATAGTATGTAGATTCCTGAACTCCCTGACAGATGACAGATGACAGATGATTTTATGTTGCTAATTATCTATTTAATTTCTTTGATCATAACATAGGCATTTCAAGACGTCTTCTAGGGGATGAGATGAACGGATTTTCACTTTCGTTACTTTTTATTTGTTTTGAGAGAGGGTCTGCTATGTACTCATACTGTCATACTGTCAGAATTCAAAATTAAATTGTAGCTCTCACTTTTACCCCACTTATCCCAATTGTAGGGTCTTTAGAGATCAGGCAAAATAATTTTTGATTTCTCTACATAAATTGTCAGTGAGGGAAAGAACTGGAAAACATTTTCAGCTGTGCAGCTTTATAATTCATATTCTGCATCATATACTTTGTGCAATTAGGAGCTCATATATCTTTTATTTTCTGGGCAATCAAACTTCTCTTGCTTATGCTCTCCTTTATCTCCGCACACATCCACCTGTCTTACAATATAATTAAATTTTCTATGCAGTCTTAAATTTCCATCTATTCTTTTATAAATTAACATCTTTCGAATTTAACTTTTGTGCTATCTTAGGAACAGGCATGTTACACCTTGTTACTGGCAGTGAATGAGATTTTACTTCCTGTTTTTATTAACTTTCCCTTTTATTTCTGAGTTTTCCGTGTTTCCTTTCATCTGATACTAGTCTGGTCTTAGATGCTGGTGCTGATACAGTTTTTTGAAGGAAGTACGTCTGGATCTCAATGCTCTTATATATGATGACAAATTTACCATTTGCTAACATTTTTTATTTGCTCCTATTTAGGACCACTAAATAGACAAAATCCACAAAACAACAATAACAACAAAGGAGAGTCTATTCATCTGTACTCCTTTAATTACTTGAGATAGAAAATCAAATTCAAATTATGTTGATAGCATAATTTATTGATTTATGTAATGAAGAAGCTCCAGGTATCCAGCTTCAGGTCCAGTTGGATCCGGACAGAGGTTCATACACTGTCAGGGGGTCTCAGTGTCTTCCTTCCTTGTGTTAGCTCCTATATTAGGGAGGCAGGGTCTCCTTTCCAGGTGGTAAGGTAGTTACTAGCAACTATAAGCTCATACCCTGCTTCTGTTCCTCTCCATTGGGAAGAAAGAATCCTCACTGCTACCCAAACTAGTTTTAAAGAAAAGCACCATGATGGTATATCATATTTTCTTTTTTTAGCATAAATCTCTGTGTTCATGGAGCAGAATTATACTGAGTAGCTCAGGACTGAGTTACAAGTCAGTTGTAGGCACTGAGTACAACTAGTTCCGCGTCAAATGACAGCTGGGTTGAGTGACTTCCCAGGGTACCCTGATTGGCAAGGAGGTACAGAGAAGCCAAAAGCAGAACCAACCAAGAGGAAGCCAGGCACTGCTCTCAGCAGAAGTGTGGGCAGATTGTCTTTCATGGCAAATACATTCCCATTTCTACCAAAAAACAAGTTTTCATTTCACTTCTATTTTAACGGAGTCACAGAATTTCTCTACACTGTGCTTTTGAAAGAGATGATAACACTGGTTAAGAAGCAGAAAGACGCAGTGACCACGGGAGTAGCGCTGTACTTCTTGCCAGAAGCTGTGAAAAAAATGAACAATGCTACAATCAGACACATTTTAGGCAGATGATACTTTAGACACTATCTCATTTAATTCACTAATTTAAGATAAAAATTCCTACTAAGAACTCGAAGTTAGCTACTTTAAGAGCATTCTCTTAGATTTTTCTAAGTCAAACTTAACTTACTACTTATTCTATAGATGATGAAACAGGCAGCAAGAGAGTAAGACATTCACTTCAGGTTCTTCAGCCGCATGGTGGTAAAGATGTGAGCCATTTTTATAATCAGCAGCATTACCTTCACCTTAATTATCATCATCACCACAATGAAAACTAGTAAGTACTTATTTTACACTATGATGTTTTGATATATGTGAACTTATTCAACCCTTGCAACAAAGCTATGAGGTATTCTTATCTTCATTTTTTAGTAAATAAAACTATGACAAAGAGGAAGAAAAACACTTGCCCAAAAGTCACGCATCTGTTAAGCAATATTAGCAGCAATCAAATTCAGACAGGGTAAATCAATTCTGTTTTTAACTGCTGTGTTCTCTGTTGATATGCATGCCCATTCATGGATTTTTTTTTTCTTTCCTGGGAGTTGAACCAGGGCCTTCACACTTAGCTACATTTTTATTTTTTGTTTTGAGAGAGGTTCTTGCTTAAACTGCCTAGGTGGCACTCGAAGTTGTCACCCTCTTGCCATAGCATGCCAGAGTACTGAGATTATAGGCTTCGATTATAGATGTGCAAGAGGCAGTCACATAGTTTTGCCTAAGATATACATGTATGTGTGTGTGCATGTGTGTGTGTGTGTGTACTGTTTAGATGTGCACACTTTTTGCGGGAAGTTTATGAAATATTAGGGCCAGATATGGCTGATGGAAGCAAAACTGTAAAACAAAATTATTGTTAGGAATAGACTAATTAAGAAAACAGTGGTACAGAATAAAGTGAGGCAGGAGATGGAAACCTTCTAACAGTAGTCTTAATGAAGAATAGAATCTCCACTTCAGCCAACCTTCACTGGTTGCTCATGGTAGAAAAGGTGTTTGAGGTTGGAAGAGATTCAACTCTCATGGCCTCAGTATCTGTTCATATGGTTTTATAAGGTGACCTAAAGAGAAAGAACTGTATTTCTGTTTCACAAACATGTATTTTTTGGTTTCATGGAAATTATAATTGGAATATGTTTATATATGTATATATATATATATATAAATTTCATCTATCATCTCTGTCATCTATCTATTTACAGTATATTTATATGTCTGTCTATCTCAGCAGTAATGTCTGGCTCAATTTTTGACAATAACAGTAGGCAAAGGAAATTAATGGTATATTCATCTTTTTAAACATTTTTAAAAGTTCACGTTAATCTGAAACCCCACAGACACTTAGGAATAATTAATACTACTTCAGCAGGTCAGTGATTAGAAGGGTTCTCAAAAACATTTTTGGTTTTTGTTATCTCTTCAATGAGGCTGGAGATTGCCAGGACATCCAACCCCATGCTTGGCAACCTTCCAATGGGATGAGATAGTCTTTAAGTAATACTAATAATACTGCTTGACAGTACAGCAGTGTGACAGAAAGAGTACGGTTTTTGGAGGTGATTAGCTTCTGTGTTTAAGCCTGTTTTACCCTGACAATTGCAAATTACCTTTATTAAGCCTCAATTCTGTCAACTATAAAATGAAAGTATCTTGAGGATTTTGGAAATACTGTTATCACTACTACTAATACTGTTAGGATTTCTACCTTCACCATCACCTGTAACACTTACATGGAGTTTCCTTATGTATCATATGCAATACACTGGGTAACGTTATCTTCCTAGCACCTGTAGGAGACTGAAGCTATTGTCTCTATTGTGCAGATCAGGAAAGTAAGGCAAAGAGTTAGCTATTTCTAAGCGATTATATAGTAACCAGCAGAGCCAGGATTTAACATAGCAAATCTTCTTCAAGGGGTCATATGTTGAAGTTCCTGGCAACTGAAATCTTCAGTCCTTACACTGCCACCACACATGTCATAGTTTGTCACCCCTTTCTCCTTGATCCTTGATAGTACTCTTAGGACACTAATTCTATCAGTTATCTCCTTTCTCAACAGCTGTTACTTCTTAGGCTTATTTTTTTTCATCCTGACTTTTTAAGTTGCAATGCTCTCCACTCTCTTTAGCTGCAAACTTCTGTGGAGAGCTCATTCAGTCTCATCATTTTGCATGGCACCTTTATCCCTTAGCTCCAAATACGCATCTCCAGCCTGGGTCACAGCCCTGAATGGTAGACCTATGTATCCAGCTGTCAATTTGACGTTTGAACTTGTATGGCTTTTTTACATCTCAGATATAACATGTCAAAGCCTTGCTCCTTATGCCCAAATCTACGCTCCCTGTAGGTTTCTTCTTCCTAGTTAATTCCAACTCTATCCTTTCAGACACTCAAGCCAAAACCCAGAATTGTCCTTTGCTCTTCTTTTTCTCTCACTTTTCATATCCAGTATCAGGAAATCCTCCTGGCTCTGATCTTCAGGAGGTATCCTGCATGTGGTCAAAAATACCTCCTCTACTGACAGTTTTCATCTGGATGATTGAAATAGCCTTCTGACTAATGTCTTTCCTGTAACTTTGCTTCATGACAATACATGTTCAGTAGAATCAAACTGCTGGGATGCTGTTCAAAATCTTTCAGTGGTTTCTCAATCAGATGAAGACAAAAGATTACAAGTGCCTTCAAGCTCCAACGTGATTCCTATCTTCACTTCCTGTTACTTGCTTCCTCAGTCATTTGCATACTCTGATTTCCTTGCCTTTGCTCTGATTGAGGACCTTTGCACTTGCTGATTTGTTCTTCTGGAATGCTCTTTCCTGTAAATTTCCCCAAGTTGATTTCTTATCTCCTTTCAGTCTTCATTCAAAGATCACATTCTCTGTGAAGCTTTTCTTGATAACTTACTTTAGTATTGTGATTTATCTCCCAAGGCATTCTCTATCCCCTGGCTCTGTTTTGTTTCTCTGTAGGACTTATCACCTGCTAAATGAGGTAGATAATTCATTTATGCATTTTGTGTATTGTTCACCTCATCACACCATAGAATGCAAATTCTCTGATGGTGGTAGTTATTACTTATTTTGTTCACTATATCTAAACCTAGCACATAGTAAGTGCTCTATCAATACTCATGAATTATGGCTGCTGTCATAATGATGCTCAAATAAGACACCAACATGCAGACCTCACAGTCATCCTTCAAAAATCAGTAAGCCCTGGTTTGAACATGTGTCCCCTGAAGGCCATGTGTTAAAGGCTTAGTCACTAGTGTATAGTCATAGGTGCCTGCTCTGGAAGGGGATATTGGGACCCAACTGCTACCACCTTTTCTCTTTCGCTTCCTGGTGGCCATGAGGTGAGCATCTTTCTTCCATCACATGCTCCCCACCATGACATGCTGCCTCATCACAACCCCAAAAGCTACTGAGCATGGACTAAACCTCTGAAACAATGAACTGAGGTAACCTTTCTCCTTACGAGTTGTTTATCTCAGGTATTTTGTTATAGCCATACAAAGCTAACATAAACCTTCTTCATAATAATTAAGATGTTAAATTACCTTTAATTTTATTCTCTTAGGTTGAAATAACTTTTCCTTCCTACCTTGCTTGATACATTTTTCTGGACCTATCTTAAGGTCATTATTACTTCTGCCTACATTATTATTTATATGTAGACAATATTTTTAGAAGAATAAAGGAAAAACATCTGTGATTAAATTAATTACAACCTTAAAAATTCTTTCATTTTTGTATGTCTCACATTATTTTACTTTTGTATTTAACTTTCTATTCTAATAATAATTCAAAATTTTGTATTTAACTTTCTATTCAAAACTTTTAATTTCTGTCCTGTTGCAGTGTTTTTCAAATTGTGGTTGTGATCCATTAGTGAGTTATGACATTAGGTTAGAAAGTTATAGTTATTAATGTTGATAATGTAATTTAAAAGGTAATAACAAAAATGCAAACATTGTACTGTGTTCATGATAGGATAACTATTGACATTGTACATGAATGTGTGTTTGTATATTTATGAGTATGTGAAGTAAGTTATAAATAGTCATAATCAATAGGCTTGAAACTAATAGTCATTTCTCAGTAGCATTTTTAGAAAAAATGAATCTCCTGAAACCAGTTTGTAGAGAGAATTGCCCAGTAATTCTCTTTAGAACCCTTGGGAAAAGAAACCTTTCATCGTTTTAAAACTATGAATAATTTTATGTAAATCATTTTATGCTTTTTGAATCTCAGTGTTCCATCTGTATAGTAGGGGCAACAACCCAATTTGTAGGGTGGTTGTGAGAATTAAATAAGTAATATGTGTGAAAACATCTTGTAAACTAAATCCCTATACAAACATCATTTTGTTGTGTATATTAACATAATTTTGTCATTTCTGCCTTAGAGCATAGAGTGTGGGAGAAATGCATTAATTATTATAACTCATTTCATGAAGGCTAAATCTGCATTGTATCAGACTGTTGAGAAACAAATATTCAAGCTACTGAAAAAAAGCAGAAAAAATAAAGTTGACGTGTAGTACATCTAATTAATCTACTATTTGAAGTAAGTTCTGTCTATAGCCTCTATCTGTCAAAATGCAGATATGAATTTAGATTATTGTTATTATGTTGCCATAGTGCTATTTAGTTTGGGTTATCTTTTAGATTATTATTCAGCAAACGTAGGCACTCTAAAATAGCAAGCATTGCTCCTGCTTTTTCTTGCCCTGTTCGATTCTTCCTGTCAATCTCACTGCATTTGTGCTGTCAATCCATTCATTCTGTCTTTCACAGGTAGGTGCTACTTCCTTGAGGTTTCCTGGTGGTATCTGAGGAGGTGGATAAATGCCAGCTGCTGTCACAACAGTCCTCCAAAGCAAGCACTGCTTCTACTTTATACAGGAAGAAACAGGCTCAGAGGTGAAGTCATTTACCCAAGACCACACAGTTACTAACGTATGCCTGGGGCTTTCTGGCTGGAAAGCTTATTTGCTTTGCACCCTGCTGTATGGTCTCCTAGATCCATTCAATTGCTCATTCTTTCATCCAGGCATCTGAGTCAGGCGCTGTACTTTCAGGCCAAATAGGGAAAATTAACTTTAGATGACTGAAGGCCAGAGTAAAAAGAAAACAGTAAAGAAATAGGATGTTATCCAGTTAATCATAAAGGTTAATAGTAGCTAAAAAGTTTTGAGTACTATTTTATATGTGTTAGATGCTATTCTAAGAGCTTTCATACAAATTAATTCATTTTTTCCTCACCAAAATCTGTTTTATATGTAAAGAAGCTGAGGCACAGAAAGATTAAGCCACCTACTCATGCTTGTTTCTGGTAAAGTTTACATGTAAAGTGAGGCTACTACAAACAATTGGCTATATTTTTCTAGAAACATGTTAAGAATTTTGATTATGTAGAATATTTTATCAAATAAATCTTTCTTCTTTGTGAATCCAATGATACAGAACAGAGCATGTATTTATGTGTGTGCAGAATTTTGGCACAGATTATGTTACCAACAGAAGAAGTATTCCAGTGCAAATAGCTAATTAACATTCTGTTAACATATTTTGAGTCTTTCAGTCAGCCTGCAGACATGTTTCTATAGTAACCAGTATAACTCATGTGAGGGTGACAGAAAATTAGGGAAAGCTGTTAGTTCAGAATTCTTTTGCACATGCACTCTCACTTTTGTGTTACACTGCAGATCTGACCTCTCTGACTTTCTGAAAGCAATGCCTTCTTGGGAAATCTGGACATCGGTTGCAGGTCAACAAGACCTCTTTGACATAAATTTAAAAAATCTCAGGAAGCTGTGCTCTTTACAGTGTTATTATAAATAGCTAAGTTAGTTAGAAATATTATAGGCAGTAGGTCAGAGCTAGGCCCTTGACAGGAGTCAGCTACACATACATTAAAACTGTGGGTGGAGGTGTAGTTCTGAAAGGCTGGATCTCAAGAAAAAAGATAGAGTGGCTACACCTCCGTACTCCCCTAGGGATGAGCATCAGTGATTGCTCTTCTCAATAGATGGGGGAGAAAAGACTCCCTTTCAGAAAGTCACTGCTCCCACGTCCATTTGCTATGTGACTTGCTTCCTGATATGATCCCCATTTAATCAGTATTATCTAAGCTATTATACTCGAAATGTTATTGGTTCATAGTTTTGTCCCACCTCAGACTCATCTTGTGATTTCCCATTGGATCACTGTTACCTAAGTGACCATACTTACAATTTTATTAACTGATTATAGTTTTGCTCACTTTAGGCCTGTCTCACCTCCTGGTTTTTCTCTATAAAACTCCATTGAGAAGCTGAGTCCTAGGCAACCCTCTTGGAACCCTTTAGACAGAAGTCTCCCCCCCCCCAATAAATATTTTTGTTGTCAACCTCCATTATTCCTAGAATTCATTCTTTGATTTTAGAGAACGCAAGCTTGGTGTATTGGACATCTAGCAGGGTAATAGTTGGGAGTTATAGTTCCCTTATATTATTTGGATTATGTGAAGGTCCAGTACTGTCTTGTCTTTGGGGATAATTAGAGTACCCTGGCTCTTTAATTTTACAGATCCTTATATTGTATTTTAAGTACTACATCTTTCAGATTATGGGGGTACAGGAATGGGTTCACTTGGTTCATAGGGACTTTTTGAGACATACAAATGTGGCTTTTGCTAATAAAGAATGAAGGAAGAGAGAGAAAGAGAGAGAGAGAGAGAGAGAGAAAGAGAGAGAGAGATCATCTCTCTGTACCTATGACTAAAGTTAATAGCTAACCCTAATTTACCACTTACTATTGTATGATATAAAAATGTATAGATATCTTATAATCTTATTTTATTTACTCTTCACAAAAGCCCTATGAAGCTCTGTTAAGATATGTTTATGTTAAAAAAAGATATACTTATGTAGATGAAGAAACAGAATTTAAGCACCTTGGCAAAAAACATGTAGCTAATAATTGGTACAGGTTATTAGCTAGTTAAAGTGAGTAGAGTGAATCTGGCAAACTGCCTGGATTTCATGTATACCTCTTAAATACTATATAGTCCAGGTCTTTCCACAAAGAGCTTATAAGAAATACAATACTGATTCCTTCCATGTGATTCATGATTTTATGTATCTCTTCAAGATCAACCAAACTTCCACAATATAATAATATATGTGGCTATCCCAGCTAAGCCTCAATTCAAAATTCATTTCAAGTTGTATTTGCATAGTTTCTTCACTGGAAAGTAAAGATCATTGGTTTGTGGAGGGATGGGAGATGGATCTTGAAACATTTTTCTTTGAGATCAGTAGAGTGGCAGAATATGGGACCACTGTTTCCATTATATAGCCCTCTCCCTCAATTTCATATTCATTCATTAACATAAATGAACTATGATTTTTTCATTGAATGTTTTACTGCTTTCATTATCTCAGTGGAATATTCCATAAATAAATGATTTGTACATTTTTAATTGTATAGCATTTCAAAAAGCATGATGAAATTTCATGCCATCCTGCTGTCTTACACCTGTTATCCCTCTTTTCAGCACTTCCGCACTCTGTATACATCTGCTCATCAGACAATTTGTGGCCATCTCACTGTCATATAGACTGTCACAACATCACAGTGCTTGTGCTCAAGTCATCTTTATATAATAGCCTAATACTGCATTGCAATGTCTACATTGTTTGTTTCACATCATCTCATGCAGGCATTGTATCATCTCACATAATCATAAACAAGAGGAAGATGAATGTAGCACATTGAAATATTCTGAGAGCACATATTCATATAACTTTTATGACTATATTTTATAATTGTCCTATTTCATTAATAGTTACTGTTAATCTATTACTATGTGTCTTAGTTCCTTTTCTCTTGCTGATGAGACAAGTACCCTACACCCAAAGGTAAAAGGAGAAAGGTTTATTTAGTGCACAGTTTGTAGAGGTTTCAGTCCATAACTGGCTAGTTTCAAGGCAGAGTGGTATTGTAGAGGAGAAATAGTTTATGGTGTGCAGAAGACAGCAAAGCAACCAGGGCAGACCACAGCTGTTTTGTTTCTTTTATCGTTTTCTTTTCTTTTCTTTCTTTCTTTCTTTTTTTTTTTTGGTACTGGAGATAGAATTTATGACCTCTTGCTTGCCAGGTAGGTGCTTATACCACTGAGCTAAATCCCCAGCCCTGTTTCTCCTATCTTACCCAGGTTATTTACATCAGGTAGTACTCACACCCTTAATCCTAGTGCTTTTATCCTATCATTGCACCATGATTCTCTTATAGCATCACACCCCACCTATGACTACATGAAGCTTTATGAGGACATCTAAACACAAGCCATAACAGGGTGCCTAATTTATCAGTTAAATTTTATCATGAGTATGTGTGTATAGGAAAACATAGTACATGTAGGATTTGGTACTGTGTCTTTCACATACCTCCAGAGGTTTTGAAACATACCTTGTGTGAATAAGAGAATATCATCGTATCATTTCAGAAAATAGTTCTTTTAGAATTAGTTGAGGAAAAAGAAGGTAAGAGAAACCAATAAATGAATTACCTTTTCTCTAATTAGTTAGTTCCACTATTGCTGGTGGCTAATTACCATGTTTTTGTCCCCCTCCAAGCCCACACAGAAAAGATAACTTTTCTAAGAGAGTAGTAGTCTATGATTCTGATAAGCATGGATCAAAATTAGATCAACATTACCTTTTAGTAACTGGCAGTTATATGTGCTCAGATTTCCGGCTGATCGCAATTGCAACCAATCTCCTTTTGGGTGGTAGCTTGTATTTACAACTTCAAACAACTCATAGGGAGGGATCAGGACTTCCTTCTGGAGGGAGAAGTCTTGTACAGGTGCACCCAGACAAGTAAATATGGTAAATAGTGTTTTTGTCTCAAATGTTTGTGCCTCTTCTCTTAGGAGAGAGGTAGAGAGGAACTGGCCAAATCGGACTGTGTCACCTATGTTGGCTACAAGGTGGACGTCCTTCATACCATGGTATACCTCATAACACTGAGTGTGATTCTTCATGCTGAGTTCTGTCCTCAGCAGCTGGATCGCTGAGGTCAAGTAGTAGTGCAGATATTTGAAGTGGAATGAATGTTTGTACTGCTGTGGAGACCCGGCAGCACTGGCCATGGCCCCGGAAAAGTCAGAGCGCAGGTGGTTATTCAATGTATAAACCAAGAGAGCCATCGCATGTATCATTGTCATGTTGGCGGGGAGAGGTTTTTCTTTGCTCAGCCAGGTTAAGTGAGCTTTTTTCCATATATCAAAGTAATTTTTATGGGCATCTATTTCATCTGTGAAGTAATCTCCTTGATTTAGCTTGTCCATGACCTCTTTGCTACAGCCTTGGTACTGATCATCAAAGGAACCTGGAGCCAAGTCAAAGCTGACTTTAATTGCAACCTACAAGAAAGAAAAGAAAAAAATTCTTGATTTTAATTATTCAAATCAGGTGTTAAATGTGGCTGCAGATTTGCTACATTCCATAAAGCCCACTCGTTCCTTCAAAACCAATATTTGTTGAAATTTTACTCCAAATCATTTCTACACTGAATTTACTTTGATAAACCGGTGAAGTCTGAAAAAATTCATCTTCCCAGGGAATAAGTAAGCTTTTTTGCATCCCCCAAATCATTGTGTTTTTGCATGCTACAAACTTGGAAGAAAAATGTTGATAACCTTATAGTTTATACATTCTGTTTCTCTACTTCCATTTGTATTCTCTCAGAGTTGTTATTGTGAATGTATCTCTAATCAATGCCTAAAACATATAGTAAATATTTGAACTTAATTGGATAAAAGCCGTAAGTGATCAGTAGAATTTGGTTCTGCATGGGGGACTCCAATAAATAACAATGCTAATTTTACCCAGATTCTGAAAAAAATGAAGGCTGGCACATCACTCTTCTTTACTCTTCCTTTGGAGCACACGTCTTTAGGTCTGATGATTAGACATGTTAAGAGCACATTGCAAAAAGAGGCAGCCTGAGTTTACTCAGTTTCAAGAATCCATGAATCCCAGATAAGATCTGTATCATGGAGGGACAGATAACTAACTCCCTCTCTTTGCTACAGGCTGACTCCCAGGAGGAAGAAGAGCATACTCCGGGATTCAGCATACTCAGCAATTCTTCTTATCAGCAAAATAGCTTGTCCATTTCCAGGGGAGGAGGGTAGGGGAAATTTGGAAAGTGATCTGGAATGTCTCTAGGAAAGTCCCTTTTCTTAAGAAAAAACAATTTTTTTTTTTTTAAAATGGGAAGTCCATTGGTATTACTTCTTGGTATCTAATCTGTGAGACGGAAGTTAGAGTTTTACTGGGTATGATTAGTTCATTGTTTAAAACTATTTGAATTTTTAAAATTTAAATAGGTGTTTCTTGGCAAAAAAGTAATGCCTTTATAGTAAAAAATATCTTTCACATTCACATCTTCTCATTAAAAGGCAAGATTCTCTCTAATGTGGAAGATATTGGGATTAGACCTCAAAAACATACATTTGGTAATTTTACTATGTGATTTATGATGACATATTATCTGATTATGAATTAGCCACAGTTTTTAGACCAATTAAATTAGACCAATAATTCTAAGATCAGGTTTAAAAGTAGGTCTCAAAATCTATTAAACCAACCAAATCAAACCAAACCAAACCAAACCAAACCAAATATCCCATTTTTGTCAAATCTATAAACGACTCAAAATCTATTAAACCAACCAAACCAAACCAAACTCAACCAAACCAAACCAAATATCCCATTTTTGTCAAATCTATAAACAACTCCAAATTTTCATTAAAAATCCCTAGATCTCAAATATGTAGTTATCTCTATTAACATTAGATTATTTTGAATAGATACATCTCTAGTAAAAATACTTACAAGTGGAATCTATATATTACAGTTTAAGTTCAAGTAGTTTATTTTGCATTATGTGTCTTATAAAAGCAGTATTTTTAATTGTTATGGAGAATCATGAAAAACATATTCCACTATCTTTCATAATGCTTAACTGATAAACTATGAAGAATTTTAAAGTTTTAATAATTGTTTGGTAACTATCACTATCTTTTACTAAAATAATTTGCTAAAATGTCTGAATGAAATTAGATCCCTAATGAGTATAGTTTGGGTTGGTGATAGCAAATAATGTTAGAGACCAAGTGCCCAAACTGCAACCTAAAACCCACTTACTCACTGCAAAATGCCAACCCTGCAATTAAACCTGAATACTGAGGTGTTAGTTTAGAATATACACAACTCACAAATTAGGATTTTTGTCTTAAAAGAAAAACAAATGATATGCGTACCATAGATTTGCCAGCTGCGGTTTGGGCCATTTGGAAATTGTCACCAGGTGAACATCCTGTTAAAGCAAGGGATCGTGGACAGACCAGCCCCTCAGTTTCCCCCCTACCTCAGCATGCCCCGAGCGTGTCTGCAGGCTGCAGAGCAGCAGCAGGAATGCCAGCTGCCCACCTCGGAACCTCAGTCTCATCACAGGACCTGTGGTAGCTGAAAGAAGAATCCTCTTGCATCTGCTGATCATCCACCGACAACTTTTGTTTATGTTAAAATTACTTCTTTTCTTTTGAAGCTTCATCCTGAAATGAGCTTTTAGATTTCTCCTTCTGTGTTTTCTTGGAGTGAGTCTCAGCAACAACCTTCTTTGTGCCTGTCTGTGTTGAGACTTCTGTTCAACACCAGCAATTAAGAGAATTCTGGAAAACAGAAATCAGCTCTAGGCTTCTTTACCAAGTTGAAATTTCTGTGAGATAACCGGATGCATGCTCTAGATAAGGGTTTTACAAAATTACTCAAGTCAGTTTCCAATTTTAAAAAAAGAGCCCTTAAACTATTCTGTATATAGGGAAATGCCAAAGGCATATTCAGGGTCAGGCCCTGCAGTTCAGCTTTGACTGTTCCCAGAACATCAGGAAAAGGCATGTTCTTTGCTGTGTTTGGGGCCAAAAGTCATTATCTGGAGCCCCAGGCTTTCGTTGTGAGTTACAAGATTGCTCACGTAGGGCAACTGGGATGATGCTTCCGAAAAGCACGCCCGCGTCAGCTCATCTGGTGCTGTTGATAGGTCCTGCCTGGGAGGTGCTGGTACAAGCAATGGGGCAAAAAAGAGTCTCTTTTTCTGCCTTTCCATGGCACATACAAACTCCAATTCAGAGACTGTAGCTGTTGGATCCAAAACTCTTCTGATTTTTTCTTCTCTATATATCAGGTCCTGTGTCTACTCTATTTCTATCTACAATAAATCCTAATGATTGCTAGAAAAGTACCTATGTAAAGCTGACATAAATCCAAAATAGGAATCAAGTGTGCACAGTTATTCTTGCACAAGTGTTCTATTAAACTCTCTTTCAGGCACCTCCCTTCTAGTAGAAATATTCTTCCTTTATTTGCAATCCATGGAATAATGGCATTTTATTTCACAAATATTTTCTATTTATACTTCCCGATTCATTATCTGTTAAAGGAAACTAAATGCTGTTTTTGAAAATTGCGTTATTGATTTTTGCCAGTACCCAATAATCTTTTTATATTAAATTCTCTAATATCACAATAGTTTCGTCTCAGCAAAAGTTCAGGATATTTAAGTAAACATAATGGAGAAACAAGGTTACTTATAACTCATCATTGGGGAAAAGCCATTATTTAGATTTAAATTTTGGTTTTAAATAACATTTTAGAATTGAAACAATGCAATATATAGTTTTATACTTTTTTCTCCTAACATTTTAATATGAGTGTTCCCATATGCTTCAACTTATTGGAACAGAAGTTTCTTGTGTAACATAATAGTTCACCATGCAATGAAATAGTACAGCCAGTACTTTCTCAGAACATTGGTTAGTGAAGAGAACATGGACTCTTGCGAAAGCCATTCTGGTTCAGTTCCTGGCTCATTTCCTTAATAACTGATCTTGAGTATGTTGCTCTCTGTTTCTCAGTTTCCTCATATGTTAAGTGTTCACAATGATTGTACCTGCCTCATTGAAGTCATGTACTTCTAACCTTTAGAACAGCACCTGGAATCCAGAGTGCTTAATAGATGGAAGCTATTAGCATTACTCCTGCCATCTTATTTAATCATTATCTTATACTTAGTTTGTTTTCAGCTTCATACCATAATACTTAACAATGTGTGATATGTTTTAAACATAAATCTTTGTTTTTCATAATTTTTAAGGCTCAATTCTAAAGACAATCATGAGTTAAAGGGACGCATGCTTGTGGGTTTCATGACAACTAGTAGCAATGTATGAAGACAGCCTTTGATGACTAAAAATTATTAATATGTCGATCAGCCATTACTTTAAGCTATGAAATATCATGGTCTGAATATCTGGATTATGGTTCTTGTGCTACTTCTAATGTTGAATGAATTAACCTAGAAATGAATAATTTGTGTCAGGCTGCCGTTTCCTTAACCTTATAGAATTGGAAAAATTAAGTAAGGTAGAAATTTTCTTTTACTGCTTCAGGATTCCTTTTATATTAGCTCAGTTTACCAGATAACAATGAAGAAACATTTGGATCTTCACTTTAAAGATGTGTTACTTAGAGCCTTGTGAAACTAAACAGCGTTTCAGCGATCAGATACACTTTTATTTCCCTTACAGCCCACCCAAAATTCTAAAATGTGTCTGTTTAAAGTTTTCTAGCATGATCACCTCTTCCAGAATAACCCCACTAGGGGGCAGCAGGAACTTTGGTAAACTTTTTAAAGACACTTGGAGAGAACAGGAGAAGGCATGGAGAAAGGTCTGATATCTGGTGTGTGAGGAAAAGAAAACATTATTTTCTGACACTAGCACCACAAAAAATGGTGTTGGAGGAACAAAAATAGATAATATATTAAAGTAATAGTGTATTTTTATAACTTTTTTTAGGTAGCTGTTTGAGAAATTTTGCTAATTTTTAGATCTATTTTCTGGCTTAAAATTCTAGGTATTCTAGACTAGTTTTCTGAAGCTACTTTCTGAGCATGGGGTGAAGTAGTTATTAGAGGGCCTTAGCCAGGAAGGAGATGTATCTTTGCCATTCGCCTGCAGGTTTGGCAGTGGCTCTTCGTAGTTCTTGTTGGGATCTTGTACTCCTTTGGATTTGTGGCAACACATAGGACCATTTTACTCCCCTGGTAGTCACAGAAAAGCAATTTGATAGGTGCTTCACAATTCGGCAATCAAAATAGTTTTGAATTATCTGCATTTTAACTTGTCAATCTTCATTTACTCTCAACAATTTATAGAAGTGAGAAAAGCTCTCTTATTTTATGTATCAACTGAGAATCCCCACCCCTGACATTTTTGCTACATGTGTTACACATTTTGCTACACGTGTTACACATATAACCTTTGACATTCAGTGTCTGTTGAACAATGAATGAATGAATTTTTCCAAATTTCAGTAACTGGGCATTACCTATCACTTGAAGAAATCCATTAATTCCAGGATGGATAGGCCAGAATTCCTCTTGGTACATGAGGAGTTCTCAGGCCCAAATCACAGGCAGACATTTTTCAAGGACTATAACTGTGTCTGTCCATGGTTCTGGACATAATGGGCAGCAGAAGAGGCAACATAACTTTGGGATCATTTCATTTCTTCTGTGGAGCAGAGTTATCGAGAATTCGATAGTAACTGAAGGAGTAACTGTTTGTCTTGGTATGTTTTCTGATGCTATAACTGAATGCCATAGCATAGACTGAAACATTTATAGAGACCACGGATATAACTCAGTAGCACAGTGTCTGACTGGCAATCATGAGGTCACGAGTTTGATTTCTGGCACGAAAAAAATTTTTTTAAATAAAGAAAAGAGATTTACTTAGTTCATGGTTCCAGAAACTAGGAAGCCCAAGAGCATGTGCCAGTGTCTGGAGAGGACTTTCTTGCTGCATCGTAGCATGGCAGAGGTTAAAGTGGTCTTGTCCTTTTCTTATACAGATATTAATGATATCATGGGGTCCCCACCTCATCATCTCATTTCGTCCCAACCACCCTGCCCATAGTATATAAATATAAGCATTAAGTTTCCTACATAGTTTTTGGAAGACACATTCACACCACAGCACCAGTTATCTGTGCAGTTTTAATGACCATACTTGCCAAACATGAGCTCTGTGTTCAACTGGGGATACAACAAAAACCAATCAGATAGGACTTCAGCTCCTAAGCTTGACCTCAGCAGTTTGGAAGGTCAGCCAACATAACATAAGGTCAACCTTTGCTGACCTTATGTTAACAGAGTTTTTGGTCCTGTTTTGCTGTGAGACATGTTGCAATTCTTTTTTCTTTTCTTTTTTTTTTTTGTTTTTGGTACTGGAATTCAAACTCACAGCCTCTCACTTGCCAGGCAGGTGCTTAAGCCACTGAGCTAAATCCCTGGCCCCCTAAATCACATTTCTTAATCACATTTTTTCTCTACTTATCAAAGGAAAAAATGTTTCCATCCACATTTTCCCCAAAGTAATAACAAATCAAATGATACACATAGTATTGATTCACCTAATTCTAATTCATTCTCTGTTGTTAATCCCCGGTTTGTGGAAGTCAAATCCTCCTTTTCACTTGCTCTTTCCAATAACTTGAGGATGCTGTCTGAGCTTTCAATTTTCCCTTCCTAAACTCATATCCTGACATAACCACTACTCCCAGGGTACAGTCATCACACCTTCTGTCATCCTGACGATCTTCTGCTCTCTGAATTCCACTAAGGCAGTGACCCTTGTGAAATGCAGCCCAGGACAATGCACATGTGTTCAACCCTTGGTACTAAAGGCTTCCTTTGTTCTGGTAGTCTCCTTCCACCGATGTAACCTAAGGTGTAGCAGCTTTTTTCAGGTATTTATGCCATTCTTTGTCTCATTGAATATCTACTTCTTAAAAATTGTTATTCCCAGATGAACTGATGTTAATCAAATCTTACCTATCCTATGCACCTGTAAATTTGAAATAAATCGATTGAGCCCAATTTTAAAAGCTTAGGTTTATATGTATCAAGCCTCTTTAGCCTGTCAAAGAGTTCATAAATCCTGACATGAAGTATATTAGCAATAACTCTTGACTTTATTTCACGCAAAAATGGGAACATTGTTCTTTTGTATTACTGTTCAAATCATTTATTAAACTATCAAAAACAGCATAGAATTAAATAGAAATTCCTGGACATGACAGTAGGAATGTTTTTCAATTTGTAAAGAATACATTTTTGAAGTTCTCTTTAGTTATTCATCCAAAAACTGTTCAATCAGATTTAAACATATATAAATCTGAGGAAATCTTAACTATGGGTCACAGAATTTGTCAGTTAAATTCAAGAGATATTCTCATTTTAACATACGTGATATTATTTAAAAGTACTGAATGACTTCAAGTTAGTCACACATGACTCACTTTCACATTTTTTTACTTTTAGACTAATTTAGTAAACTATGTTCTCTACTCATACTACTTAAGGCATTAAAGTTTGCCAATATTTTGTAGATCACTGCAATTAGGATCCAGAAACCTTACTTATGATTTTTAATCTATGAAAGAGACAAGGTCATAAGACAATCAGTGAACATAATTTCAAATGGTGACAAGCCTTTAGAGGACAGATAAGTCACCTGAAATACTTCACCTTTGTTGAAACAGAGGATAAAGAGGCAGCTTCCATAAACACTGGTAAAAAGTAAGCAGCCAACATTTTATTTAACAAATTCTTCCATCCAAGTACTAACCAGGCCTGACTCTGCTTAGCTTCCGAGATCAGATGAGATTGGGAGGGTTCAGGTGATATCACCATAGACTATTTAACAAATTCTTAAAGGTCAAGGGCTAGTGGGATGATTAAGAATCTTCTGGAGACACAGATCCAAAGAGAATAAACATTCATTCTCAACTTGTTTTCAATGAATGTTCATTAAAAGGATTGAGGACAGGACGTGAGACTAGAAAGATGCCTTCTTGGAGACAAAAAACAGATACAAATT